TTTGTTTCTTTGTTACGTGTATATAAAATCATTACAATGAGTGTTTAGAAGAAAATCGACACATCAAAAATATAAACCGATTGTAGATCTCTTAGTTTTGGTTATTTTGAATGTCCAGTCTCATGTTTGTTTCTTTGTTACGTGTATATAAAATCATTACAATGAGTGTTTAGGGCAAAATCGACACATCAAAAATATAAACCGATTGTAGATCTCTTAGTTTTGGTTATTTTGAATGTCCAGTCTCATGTTTGTTTCTTTGTTATATATAAAATCATTACAATAAATGTTTAGGGCAAAATCGACACATTAAAAATATAAACCGATTGTAGATCCCTTAGTTTTGGTTATTGTGAATATTCAATCTCATGTTTGTTTCTTTATTACACGCATATATTAACATTTTCGCCAGCTTGAATTTGACATTTATCAAACAAAGATGACATTTTGTTATTGTACCGAACATTACGTAATATCTTCCTGTAACTCGAACATTATGTAATATCTCCCTATAACACAAACATTACGTACTATCTTCCTATAATTCGAACATTATGTAATATCTCCCTATAGCTCTTCGAAATTGTTCGTTCACATACGACTTTTGTTGAGACACTTAGTGAAACTGATAACGATTGTGTGAAGAGACGACGTACGATATGTAATAAATACAAAATCAGAAAATGTCTTATCTTAATCTATAATAAAAGTGTTAATAGAGATAGCTGTAATCAGCTAACAAGATAAAATTGAATATCAGCATAAAAACGGAACTGTATGAGAAATACAAAGGCGTACACAGCAATTAAAGTTTGTAACTACTAAGGTTTTTTTTTATCTCATTAAGCTCTCTCCCAGCGCTCTTTGTATATATAAAGAATTTTCAGTGACTCCTTTGCCTTATGTAACTATTATACATCTCAAATGAAAGATTATATACTGGTTTTTCTATATTTAAATGTTGAGGAAGCATTTAACCACAGCATATCCGAAAATTTTAATTACGCTTAGTTCGATATTGAGTAAAGGAAGTGCGAACTTAGAGGCAGTGTTATATGCTTATCTTTTGACTATTCTTACTTCTGTGTGATCAAATGCGGTGCTTTAAAGTTATCTTCTGCAAGACTGTTTCTTGTTTGTGTTGTTGATTTGCCGGGTTATTATTTTTTTTTAGA